ATTTCTCCTCCTGGTAACCTGAAATAATTGTTATGCCTTTTTATTTACAACAAACTTCCTTCCTTCACCCCTCGTCATATGTTCCCTCCCCGTCTTATCACCATCGTCGTTATTTCTATGGACTTCTCCCTTCTCTTATACCTCCATATCCTATTTCATATATGCTATGCTGAGGTCAGAGTAGCTGCAGAAAGGTCAAATTGGAGGTGATTGGAATGTATGGTGGCCTGGATGAACACATGATGATTGAGTTTTAATGCATGTTTGGTCATATGTGTGTGTGTGTGTGTGTGTGTGTGTGTGTGTGTGTGTGTCTGAGTGAGTCAGGCAGAGCGTATAATAGGAAGAGATAAATACAGAAGCAGGCAGATTGCCATCTGGTCCCGTTGAAATCAGTTATACTAAATGCAGACGGTTTCTCTCTAAGCCAATATAATCTGTTCACAGCGATGACTTTCAACTTGCATCCAAAGAAGCCAGCAGTGGGAGATATTGAAAGACATCAGCAGGAGATGAGATGACCTCAGAAAATCAGAATGAATAATAAATGACATCCAAATGGCCGATAACAGTACAAAACATATAGTTCAATAACAAATGATAAATTAAAAGAAAAAAAGGAAGGAACGGAGAATGAAAGAAAGCCAGCTTTTAGAAGTTAGACAGCTCAAAAGGTTACTCTTGCTTTAATGAAGAAAATGCCATCAAATAACTATTAGTGTACATTATGCAGTATAGGCTATTTAAGCTCATTGGTACCACTTTACAATAAGACTACCCTTATAAAGGATTCATAAAGGGTTTATAATTAGGTTATTAATTAGGTTGTAAACACTTTATTAATTATTAAGAACCATTTATAAACCAGTTCTAACATAGTTTTCATACATCAACACAGGCTCACTATTTGGCAAGATGACTACCCCTTATACTGGCTACTTAGCTTACTTCGTCTTNNTTCATCAGCCAACATCCTTGGTGTCTGTTGTTCACCGAGTTGATTCCCCCCCCCATCCATCTTGATGTTTCTTGGCATCTCTTTATGACCATTTATTAATGAGTTACTACCATTTCTAATAAGGCTTAGCAGTACAGATAAATGTGGGCTCACTATTTGGCAAGCAACCGGTCACAGGTGCCCTGTTTATCTCATGTCTTATAAAAGCTTATTAATGATTTATAAAGTGTTCACAACCTAATTAATAACTGAATTACAAACTATTCGTAAACCCTTTATAAGGGTATCTTATTGTAAAGTGGTACCAGCTCATTTATGCAGGAAAAGGAAGAGTTTGATTGACGGTTTCACTGACCCGGCACAATCTATTCTAGTGATATTGCGTGTGTGTGTGCTCTTGCCCATTCCCATACTTTCCAGTAAGGTGCCCTTGATAGAGTCATCATTTGCACCATGGTTGTGTGTGTGTGTGTGTGTGTATGCCCTGCTTCCATCTGTTCTCGACAGGGCGATGATCATCTATCTCCCCATTACCTGTCAGTCACTGTTCCCCGTTGATATCTCTCCTCTCACTATCTGCAGAGCTACAACACAACAGAGGAGAGCTAACAAGAAATAATGTCTGCTCTCCTCAGCCGTCCAATTATGCGCATATGCCCGTACCTGTGTGTATGTACGGTTGTGAACGGGTACACAAATGCAACCCTCATGTCGATAGCATCAAATGCAAGAAGGCAGCAGGGCTATAAAAGTGCTGAAGACAACACATAGACGTCAATATACAGTACTGCATGGGATTCGTCCCTCAATTGTACGCAAGCATTAGCTCAAAGCATACTATATATTATTAGAACGTTTGATTCAAATGCAAAAACACATGTACATCTCCTAGGGAATCAACACTCCAAACATCACGTGATTTCTTCTTAAAGTTATGTTATGTCCGAAGACTACACACACCATCATATAAATACATATTTATAAGGACTAATTTATCACTAATGCGCTCAATGTCCAACTTATTATGAATGTACAACATTAGTATCAACGTCGGGGACTCATTCCTTTTGCAGATCAATGTTAAACTCTGTGTTAGCATAGCTAGCATAGTTAGCACGTACAGTAGTATGTTGTAACATATTTTGTGAAATGCTTTTGTATTCAAATATAAATCACTGTTACGTGTCAGTTTGTGTGTGTTTGTGTTTCTCCCCCTTCCCCCTTGATTGCCTCCCTGCGGGTGCAGCCTCTCTCTCTCAGGTGATCCCAATCCCAAATCAAGGCCTTTATAAAGGCCTGAGGAAGGCTGCAGTCTCCCTCTCCCTCCTCCACAAGGCCCTGTCTTTGTGTTCCCAAGTTTTCTTTCTTTAATAAGAATAAAATCCTCGGTTTATTCACTGTAACCCGGAGTTTTGCTCCTCGTTGTGTTGCGGCCTTCGAGTCGTAACATTTTGGGGTCTCGTCCGTAGCCCTTGTTGGAGTTGGTGAGTTGTTTATTTGTTTCTCCTTGTTTTACCCCTAGAGTTTGGTTTCAGGTATGTAACAGGTTTGTGCTCCTGTTGCCACATGTAGAGTATTTACTTATTTTTGACTTGCCTGGTATATTAAGCCTGTGGGTGCTGAGAGACCACCACCACTTTTTTATTTTCTGTGCGGTAGCCCTGGGGTGGTTCCTGGAAAAGCAGACGCAGACTAGTGGAGGTCAAGTAAGATAGAAATTGGGTTTTTTGTGTATAGACAGTGAGGAAACCAGGCAATGTCTAGTCAACAACTTTTTAGTGGTAACGTCAGAGGTTAACAAATAAACTATAATTTCCAAAGTTGGATATGTGCAGTAACGTTTCCTACTTATACAATAATCATAAAAAGATTGAAATGAATTGTACGGTATACAAAACATAACAACTTGGCTGCACCTCATAACCTTTGCACAGTTTTCTCCCTGGCCAAGCAGTGGTAGAAGTATCACTCACTAAGCATGGTGAATCCGTTACTGAAAAGCTTCCACGGCTATACAGTATCTGCATGTGTTTCCCATAATTTGCAGGCGATATAAATATAAGGGAATTGTGGTCATGGATGCCAGCCTGATCCTCCAGGTTTGGTTGAGCTTTCTGCCCAGCCTCTCTCCTGGCTCGCCCAGAGTCCATGACCACGTGTGCAACCAAAGTGACCCGAATCCCAAAAGGTTATGGCTCATCTTGGTTTTGCTCTTTCCCCTTCCTCCCTGGCCTACTCCTCTTACTCTGACTCCTCTTGCTAGCTTGACTTGGCCTGCCTATTTGTTGACTGACGAAACAGCCTTAAAAACTTAAAATAGCATCTCAAAAGCATTACTTACCAGAAATCATTGTGTGTATCACCATGCTGTTAGAACATCTTGAGTGCATTTCCTCCATCAAACATTTACAATCATCCATGCATCCACTGTTACTTCTTAAATCTTCTTCTTCTTCTTCTTGGAACTTTCTCCAATTGAACAAAGAGAAAACGGAGATCATTGTTTTTGGAGCAAAGAAGGAACGATTAAAAGTCACCGCTACAAAACAACGAATAAAGCTAGAAATCTAGGTGTAGTGATGGACTCAGACCTGAATTTTAACAGTCACATTACAACAGTTATTAAGTCTGCATACTATCACCTGGTCCCAAGAGTTCAAAACTTTTAATCTCAATCAGATCCGAAATTTTTTTTTTTTTTTGTGATCCAGGATCAGACAAGTCGGCCAAATGTTGTCCCTGGAGTTCAGAGCAATTCAGGATAGGATCACCCTGATCCAGATTACGATTTTTCAAGATGACTAGATCCTGAATATCAGTGCTTTAATCCTACCGATCGCCATCTAGTGAATATGAAAAATAATACAAGGAAGACAAGAGACCACATTGCAGAGACATCTATAATGTCTAATTATATTTTTTTTATTTGAAAGGTGATGACAGATGATGGACTTTTATTTTTGTTGAAGATATTTTTACTTTAATCTAAATTACATTTTTGATTGACAACCTTTGCTGTTACACTTTTATGAGCATCAATCATTTGGTAGAAAAACAAATAGGCCACCACAAACGTGAGCAAAAATGGGGAAAAATAAAATGTATTTCCCATGAAGGCTAAAAAGTGTGTATTATTTCAGTTAACAAACGTTGCCATCTTATTTAAATTGAAACATATTTTAAAATAAATTGTACAGTACATTTTGCTCTGGTAATCCACTGGAAATCCACCCCTCTGGTGGTAATCCAGTTTTTTGGGATCAAACTGATCCCAATCCTGTGTTGTCGGTTTGAACTACCCGTTTTGAAGATTTGATCCAGATTAAAGCTTTGATTGGATTTCCTGATCTGATCGGATATCAAAGTCATCCTAATCCTGTTTTTTGGTTTTGAACTCCCCAAAATCCAGATCTGATCAGATAGGGATTAAAAGTTTTGAACTCCTGGGCCCAGGGGACTATCTGATCCACATGAGTAAAAAATAACATGCTACAGGCAGTCATCGTTTTTGTTCGCCGTTTGCCATTATTCACCTCTGATTTAATTTCCCTTCCTTGAATGTAGGTTTCTGTTTATGTAAGATTGAGAATAACTACACTATAGGTGGATTTATTTATACATCCACCATGTTTCTAAATTATAATCAAAGCTTTCCACTCACATGTTTGAAACTAAAAACAACTTTTTTACATCTAAATTCAAACATGTGAGCTTGATTGCTCACTTATTCAGAAACAACATGAAAACTATGCTTTTCATTTTTTAGTAGGTGCATAAAAGTCTGTGAAGTGGCTGATACTTGGGTACAGTCCACATTCTGACATCACTGCTTGGATCTGTGACTGATGACAATAAAAAAAATAAATAAATAAATGGATTCACAAAAAAGTAATGGCTTTACTAGGACTGAACTGCTGTAAAACATGACTCAAGATATTTATTCCCTTAAGACTTGGCTTCAAAAGCATACATCTTAAATGACTAAGTAAGCAACAATCAAAGTCAAGAGAAACATATTCACTCAAAGTACAGTCGCCCTCATCGCTTCATAATGTTAAACTTTGTCCCCCTCCACAGTGTTGCCCCCTCCTCAGCTCTCCGCCTCCTCTCCCAGCAACGACAGCATCACTGTGTCCTGGGCTCCTGTTGCCAACGCTGTCCAGTACAGCCTGTCTCTGTACAAGTTTGGCTGGAACACCACCTTCATCAAGCACAACACTTCCAGCACCAATTGGATCGTCTCCGGCCTGGATATGGGCTCAGTCTACGTCATAAAGGGTTTCGCCTGGGACCCCGAGGGCCGCCAGGGAGAGGACAGTCTGTACATCAACCAGATGACAAGTAAGCGTGCACTGAGACTCTTTTCTGTGTGTGGGGAAATACCCATGATTGCTCCTACAAGTATATAGAGTCCATGTTCCTTTTTTATTTGATCATGTAAGAAATATTATACGTGTAGAGATAAGAGAAAATATTAACTAGGCTTGCAATTTTAAATGAACTTGTCACAGAACTTTTTATGTTATATTGGGTTTTATTACATTACATGTTTTTTTATCCAAAGCGACTTACATACTCAATACTCAATACTGTGGGCAATCCCCACAGGAGCAATTTGGGGTAAAGTGTCCAGGGACACAACAACATTCTGACTGCAGAGGGGTTTGAACCTGTGACCCCCTGATCCGAATACCAACGCTCTATCCACTGCAACACACGCCTCCTCCACACAAAAACAGTTTTTGCTTTTCAGAAACATTTAACCTCTTCACAGTCTTACACTTTTTAGAAATATATAATAGTGGAACCTAAAACATGACCTTAAGACACAGAATATTGTGTAAAAATATATATCTTCAAATGATTATCATGGGATGCAGCCTATATAAGCTACAAAACACATGACTGAAGTTGTTTGAAATAGTATTAAAACCCTTTGTTTCATAAAGGAAACTACTCCATACAAGGAAAAAGTTCTACATTTGAACTTGGGCGACTCCTAGTGGTAGTTCAAAAAGACACATTGGTAGCACTGGTCTTCTCTGGAGTGTCTTATTTGTCCACAAAGACTTATGCCATCACAAGAATACAAAAACTGTACAAATAGAACTAGTTATAAAGCCATGTTCAAATAACTAAATAAGTGTTGACATGTAAACAGTCATTTGATGCTGAAATAGTGGGTCGCTGTGTTGGTTTGAACTATATAAAATATTTTCAACCTCAGGCTGTGACATCTATATCTATGAACGGCAGCCATCTGATGAATACAGTATTAATAGTAATAACATTTTCCTCACCAAACATTACTGGTAAGAGTAATTTAGAAACTATTACTCTAATTATACTTCTCTACTCTTATTAGTGTGCTTTTATTTAATGCATCATTGGGCATGTTTTATTGTTTTCACAGGACCTGCTATGCCATCTATTGCCAATGTCTCCATGGTGATGAATAACGGTTTGGCCGGTATCTCCGTGTCCTGGGAACGGGATGAGGGGGTCTTTGGGTCCCTCCAGTACCATGTGATGAGCGACCAGAACCTCACCTGTAACTCCACATCCAGCTCCTGCACCCTGTCTCCAGTGGGCTGCGGAGAGGTACACACAGTCCGGGTCAGC